TTTAGTTCATTTTAAAAATTAGCCATCGCTCAAATGTCAAAAGAGGCCACAAATTTTGTAATTAAAACATCGATGCATTTCTTTCTGCTATACTGAATTTCCTTTACAAAAAGCTCTTTTTCATGAACTCGTATAATGCTTAGGAAGTTAGCCTTTTCAATTTCCTACGCGGCGATTATAGAGATGAAAATAAATTTCTCACAAAATGATTCTTATCTCATATGATCCCACGAAGAAACTGTTGGGGCCCAAAAAAAATCGGTCGAGCAAAAACTCAATTTCATGTGTCAGTTTTCAAATAGTGCATTTAAAAAACCGTGATCCATTTTGAAGAATCGGACATGGGTACTTTTCTTCTGACACGGATGAGCTCTTCACGGAGGAAGCACACCTTCCTTCTAACCTACATAGCAGAATAATCGCGAATCCTGCTCGGTTTTCACTGCAATGAAAGGCACAAGGCGGGTGGAAAATACGCTGCGAGAACCGCTCTGAATCTTTTCACTACTACAATATATCGCTCAAGGGTGTCCGAACAAAAAGACAGATCGCTTTCATTGAAACACTGGTCATTGATGGGGAATAGTAAGGATGCTCTATAAAAAGAATTTTATCTTCGGGTGAAACGCAGCAGTAAACACGATTTATGTACAACAGTTGCGCTGAAACGAAAGGCAGAATGGTGACGGAAAGTGCGGTAGAAACTACGAGAAATATACTCCGAAGTCCGAACTGCGTCGTTCTTTTAATTTTCTGAACGAAAAGCCTGATTGCATTCAGAAAGGCTCTGTGTACGAATCGGAACAAGTTCTTAGATGCTCTTGTAAGATACTTCAAGATTAAATGAGTCCTTTTGCATCTATTCGAATTGCCCGATGAGAGCAACTCCGAAGTGATTCAATATACTTGATGTCTGAACAAAGAGGCCAATCGTATTCCTTGAAGCACTGCGATAATTCGCAACGACAAACTCGGAGGATACGTTCCTGAGATAAGGTTGGATGTTTTCTTCTTCGCGTTTATGATAGCATTAAACGTGAATTTATGCACAGTTTCACCAGAGAACAAAGGCATGTGGAAATACTACAGAAATGAGGAACACTCCTAATCTTCTCACACTTCGTTTGAAAAAAAAGTTAGACTGCATGCCTCAAAGCACCGCGACAAGCGAGTAGCTCCGAGAGGGTTTCCTGAGATATGAGTCTTTTCACTGGAACTGTGTAAGCTTCTGGGGCTTGGAAAAAAACCCCCGATGAGAACCACAATCTCAAAAGTGTTGCACTTATGTTCTGAAGAAAAACACCGCTTGTCGTCCTTTAATCACTGGAAGAGAGGAACTCCAGAGTTTCTTTTTTTGTGCGTCGATGGTCTCGCTTTTCTTTTTCTCGGGCCTGCGGACGCTTGCTCGGCTGCACGTTTCACTCTCGAATGGCCGAGGAAGAATCCGTCCCCTTCTCACCCGGCATATGTCGTACTTGCAGCATTGCCACAGGGACCCACAGTGTTGTCGAAATGGGCTTGGCCGGTGTTAGCGTACACCTTAAGTGAATTCACCGGAAATAATACCTGCGGCGTCCGAGGGATGGTTCATACGAGGTTGGAGACTGATCGGAATCAATAGGAAACCATTTTATTAACTAAAGAGAAAACGTACAATTTGTCTCATGCACGCAGGGACATGGATATCTGAGGTAATATTTTGAATTGATGATTTTTTTTGTGAACCGTTGCACACACACGCGTTTACACCAACTTCTATGCACCATTTTATCAGGGTAAAGACATTTCAAACTCTGTTTTCACTTTAAAAAAAAATCGAATTTGTGGAGGAAGATTTCACTGATAATGTACAATTAGTTGTCACAAAAAGAACCCGTTTTTTTTTACCCTCATGAAGTATCCCTCTTGCTTGTTTTTGGTAAAACTTTGAAAAGGAGCGTTATTCATTTTCTGCGAAACTGTTTTTTTGATAATAGGGATTCCTGCAAGATACACATCAGAGAAGGACATTGGACAAAATGTCTTTCTCTGTGAGCGTATAAGAATTTGGAGTTAAAGGGTGCAGCGTACGCCTTAAGTGGATTTATAAAAATTGCCTTTGTTGTGCTGTCTGAGGGATGGTCCACAAGGTTTGAGACTAAAGATAAATAAAGGCTGGTTTTGTTCCTCTAATTATTACCTGTATATATAGGTTGACTCTCTGAAGCAATCTTGTCTGCAAGGATTTTCTTTGTGCTACAAACATTTTTTGTAGTACTTATGGTTCTCTCCACAAAAAAAGGTTTTCTGATCCTTCAAGATTTGTTGTACAGAGAGTATGTCAGTAATAGTCCCATTACTTCCTTTAGCAAGGAAACTTCCATCCATGACGTCTTCATGGTTTAAAAAAATGTAATGTAATTTATGAAGCCTATGTAATGCAATATTCCACACACCTTTGTTGAACCTTTTCGAAATCAGTGTTGCCAGAGCACAAACTACCGTACCAAATGCCGGTGCGAGGCGTGCCCTCAATCCCTGGCCCAGCTGGATGCGGATGGCAACCTAGTGTGAACTAACGGACGGGGGGAAAAACTAGGACACTCCCTCCCTTTTTTCTGTGGAGCAGAGGGAGGGAAGCAAGCAGTAAAAGGATGCATTGCCAGCACTCTGGTGTCTTCCATCAAACGTTTCCGTCCAGCGGCAGGATTCCTGATGTTGACTTTTGACCTTTACTCCTTGCAGGTTTCACTATACTGTACTGGACGCCACTACTGTACTGCTTTAAAAAAAAAGAGAGAATCCATTGGTTAACTTTTCTACTTCTATTGCAGTGGAATTTTCAAACTGCCTTAATTAGGATTATTTGTAGCCTACAAAATGGATGTGTAGTATGGGTACTGTACATAGTGTACAAGATAAGGTTTTCAATATTTGTTGCACTATATTTCTATTTTCTTGCCTATATTTTCCTATGCATTATGGTAGGAAAATGAAAGAAGAACAGTTGGGATTTTCCAACCTTTGAATTTTGATGTATTCTTTTCTTGTTCCCCAGTGGAATATGATTTGGAATCTTTCTGGTTTTTGGAAATGCTGTTCAATTATACATCACAATTCAGAATGCTTTTAGTCTTCATACAATAATGTGAGATTTTAAAATATCCAGCAACATGCATGACATTTGAATGGCTTTCCATGCGTCAACTGCTTGGTCTATCAGCTCACAGTGGGAACAACAAAGAAAAATAGTGCAAAAAGGTGGGTAGTGCTGGATATGCAGATCAGATGGATGAATGCATACATCAGCATTTTCTTGCAGTATATTTTCCTATCCTGCAATTGAGACCAATGCCTCCCTGTTTTTTGTGGGAAAAGGAACAGAAGTTTTCATTGTTTTGTGATTTACTGCTCCTGAGTTACAGGATTTGTGTTGGAACAAATTATTTTATTTTGAATGTTGAATCCTCATTTAAATATATATAGGGTTTGATTACAAAATCTGAAACTTTCATTTCTCAGCATCACTGGGGAAAATAGTATCTTAAGCACACATGGATGTTGTCCCCTTTGAAAAACTGATAAATAGTATGTTTTGACTACTCCAGATTGTAGTTTACTAAGTGAAATATTCTATTGAGGTTGGATCCAAACAAATTCACTAATGCATGGACCCAAGTCTAAATAACCTTGACTTTGACTCTTAGTTTCAGGCCCTAAAAATCTTTCTCCATGCATGAAATTTTGTTGGTACAGTACCTTTCACTGAAGTTGATTGTTTTCTTCTGAACTATCTGAAGCTCTGAGTCTGACTTGTGCTACTTCCTCTGTTCACTAATTAAAATTTCGGGTTAACCTTCAAAGCAAAATATCCAAGATCTAACTACTGTAATTTTTTCATCAGAAAATTGTTTTCATCTCTAGGACATTTTAAATGCGGTATTTGAAATACAGTACATTATTTTGACTTTGCTGGACATCCTGGTACGGTATTTTCTTCACTCCCCACACGCGTGAAACATGTTCGCACCCGATAAAAGATGATGAAATGCAATGTGATTTGATGAAAATAATATTATGCAAACGTTTCGCACTTGCGTGCTTCAGTATGCACTACAAAAATTGAAAAAATATCATGTTTCAACAGAACGAGTAAATAAAAAAAAAATGACGCGTTTCGAGTACTTGGAAATGATTTTGGTATGGGACAAAACCTCACGTGCAGGGGATTTTTTTCTGTTTTCTTTATCACAAATACGTGTATTTTCTCGTCGTATTTTTTTTTTCTTTTAGAATATTTATTGCTCAAGGTCGTGACATTTTTCTTCATCACGCAAAACCTCCGCCTTTTGATTTTTTCTAAAAGAAAGAATAAACGTATAAACGGATGTTTAAAGCTGATGAGGAAAAGATCGTGACGATCAATTTGAATTGATTTGATGCGAAGCAACAAAAAATCCGAAATTATTCCTTTCCAAGATTCCAATCTAAAATTTCATAAATGTCGAAGATGTTTGCTGTTATTTGGACCTTGAGAAACAAATTGAAAATAAATTAGAATCCCTTAATATCTCTGAAAATCCTTGACATAAATCATCCTCAGCTTCCCGCAATCTTTATGTGAATCCTCCATTGTTTGAAAAGAAACATGGAATAAATTCCTTTGAATCATCAATGTTTATCTTTGAAAAAAGAAGACTGGGTCCTCTGGTCAAGTGGATGTCATTTTTAATGCCTGAAATGTCCATTGTATCTCAGAATAATTTATAAAAAATAATAATAAAAAGATAGTCGGTTCTTGTGAAAAACCGTGATTCATTTCGGCATTGACCCTCTCAAAAGAACTAAGAACACTTGGCGGTCGGCAGTGAACACTTGAAAAAAAAAAAATCCAAGAAACGAGAAAAGAAAGTTCAATTCAGAAAAAAATAAGCATTGAAGATTTTTTTTTTCACTGACCATCAATAGCCCTTCATGCTTGTTGACACAAAAAAATTCCCTTCCTTGAGATTCAAAGAGAGGATGGGGAGAGATTTTATAATTTTTTTCTGATGTTTTTTTTACTTTTTTTTTATTTCTTGGATGGTCCTTTGTGATTGCCCCCTGGTCCTGCTACTGCTGATAAGTAGTTGCCCCCAGGGAAGTTGCAGAATTCGCAGAAACCTGGGGGTCCTTGGGGTCCTGGGGAGCCTCTGAGGCCAGGCATTCCTGGTCTCCCTTGTTCTCCTCTTTCCCCTGGTCTTCCCTGCAAACCTACTCCTGGTGGACCAGCTGGACCTGGAAAAATCGTTCAAAAACATATTACAGAAAATGTTCAAGCAGTTGCTTAACCAGTGAAGCCTGAACCCTTTCAGCCATTATGACCTAAAACTAGATGACTAGGCCAAAATACTGATTACTGGAACTAAAATCAAGTTAATGGACCAACATTTAAGGCACTGGACCTGAAACTAAGTTAATGGGCCAGAAATTGAGTAAATAATACTGAAATTGAGTGACTAAACTCAAATTCTGGTTGCTGAACTTGAGCTTGAGTTATACTGAACATTAAATGAAGGTAATGGATTAAAGATTAAGTTATCAAGCCTAAAATTTAGTTACTGAACATAGCATTAATTCAATGAGCTTAAAATTGAGTTAATTATCAAAAAATTGAAATACTCAACCTAAAATTAAATGTAATAAACTAAAACTAAGTTCAAAAACCTAAAATGAAGTTTAAAACCTTAAATTAATTTTAAAAATCTGAAATTAAGTTTGAAACCTAAAATAATGCTAAAAACTAAAATTGAGTTCAAAAACCTTAAATTATGTTCAAAAACCTAAAATTAAGTTCAAAAATCTAAAATTAAGTTTAAAAATCTAAAATTAAGTTACTAAACATAAACTTAGGTTACTGGACCCAAAATTAAGTTATTGAACCTAAAATAATGTTACTGAGCCTGAAATTGAGTTACTGAACCTGACCTTTCACTTAACCTAAAATTAAGGGGTCGAACTTAATTAAGACAGTCGAACCTACAATTAGGGAACTGATCCTAAAGCAAACTTTCTGCACCTAATACTATAAGTGACTGAACCTAATACTGTGCTGTAAGTGACGGAATAACCTAAAATTAGGCGACTGAGCCATGGCTAAGTCTTGGGAGTCTCACTGGTCCTTTTGGACATGTTCTGGACCTAGCATTTTCAATCATATGTAACATGAAATGTTTTTCAGATAATCACTGAATCTATTCATGGTGGACCTGGGAAGATTTTGATTAGACAAAAAAAAACAGAAAATGTTTAGACTGTTGAATCTAGGAAGTAATCCAGACCATCCTTGTAATTGATCTGATTCTTGCAACTGTCCTAGTTTTTTCTTCAAGCAATGTTATGATAAAAGAAAAATGAAGACTACTTGTGGAAATTAGACACCCCTTGAATTTGGATGAATTTATTGAAAAAAAGGTAGTGTTGAATCACCTGGTAAGCCTCTGGGTCCAATAGGTCCCTCAATGCCCTCTCCTTCAGGTCCTTTTTCACCCTTGGTGCCTCTCTCACCTTTGGATCCTTGAGACCCTGGTGGACCTGGGATTCCTGGCAGCCCCATCAGACCCCTTTCACCAGGCAATCCTGGTTTCCCTGGATCACCTTTGGTATTTCAAAACAAGTTGAGTCAAGACCTTGGCCAATCATTAGCAGCCCATGCATGCCAAGCATTCTCCACAACAAAAAAGAGTAACCCCAGGAAGCATGCAAAGATTGAAAATGCAGCATCAGTTGTCAGCACTAAAATTATTTATACTTCTTTTTGCTGGGTTAAAGTGTGAGAGGATTAATAACTATGAGGTTTCTTTAGGTAAATTTAATGAAAGACCTGACCTGGGATGCCAGGTTGGCCAGGGTGGCCTATTCTTCCTGGGCGGCCTATTCCTGGGAAGCCCTGAGGACCCCTGAGTCCTCTGGTCAATTCTTTCAACCTGTCTACACAAGGTTGGAAAGACTGTGTTTAGGCTAATGTATTTTTCCTACCAAAATTAATTATTATGTTTTTTTTCTTTCATAAGCAAGCAAACATTTTCTTTGGGACAAGTGATGCTGCATTCTTGGCTGAAGAATGCTTTTTTTTGTATGCAGCAAGTCCAACCTGTGGAGCCTTGAGGTCCTGGAGGGCCAGATCTTCCAGGTTTCCCTCTGCCTGGCATGCCTGGTGGTCCTACCATTTTTGCTGTCAGGTCTGCCAATTGATCTGGTGCAGGCATGATTTTATCCCCATGAAAATTTCTGACTTACTATATAACTTTGAGGCTTATCAGATCAAAATTGATGCAATAGCTATGAGATTTCTAATATATTTGAATGTGAAAGGGAATTTGCACTTGCCTCTGAGAACACTTGCACAAACATCCCTGAGCTCTTCTTCACTGAAGCTCCTGCCCTGAGAATGACAGGAAAGAAGCAAGATTAAAATGATGATGTTTTTTTCTGCATGCGCTGAATATTTGGAGTTGAGATTTGGCAAATACAAACTGGTTGACCATTCTGCCCTGGCATCCCTGGCTCTCCCCTTCTTCCTGGTGCCCCTGGAATCCCTGGTGGACCTGGTACCCCATGTGGCCCTTGATGGCCAGGTTGACCTGGTGGACCTCTTTCCCCATCAGCTCCTCTCTCACCAGGCTTTTTGGAAATCAAAGTGATTCAGACATTGTCTATAAACAAGCTTTTGTAGTCAACTCACAGTTCCCATGACACCTGGAAGGCCTGGGGGTCCTCTGGTCCCTGGCCTTGCACCAACTGTACCATCCACAGTGACTGTTTCTCCTGGTGGTCCTGGAGGACCTGCTGGGCCAGTGTCTCCTGGTTTGCCTGCTGGTCCTGGGATTCCCACTGGACCTGGTGGCCCTAATCCTCCAAGTGGCCCCTGTTATGTTGAACATTCATCTCTATATGAAATAATTCATTGAAAATCTAAATTTTGGTGACATCCATGCTGACTCTGTGTTATGCATGTGATTTTGATTTATTTTTATTGTCTCAGATCTGGATCACAGCTACTATTTTATAGAATCATATAATTAATATAAGTATACTCAAATTTATAGTAAAAGAAGAGAGTATGCTTGATGGGTTTCAATTAATGAAGATTTCCACTCATCTTCAGATTATGAATATGATAATATTCATCATGTACTTGAACAATTCAATGTTGTAATATAAAAATTAAAAAAAAACAGAATATTTGAAGCTATACATTTTGCCCTGATTTATGCTAGAAGAGCACTGGTCTGGAAAGTGATGCGGCTTTTTTAACCCTTGGACGGCAAAGTCGGACTATTTTTGCCAAATTTTGTTACACCTTAGGGCAGAAAATAAAAAAAGGGCAACAGGGATTTGAGGATGAAGTCGGGGAAAAATCCAATGTTTTTTTCTTTTTTCACAGAAAAATTTCATGGGAAAATGAAACAAATCTTATGCTAAGCAATTGGCTTTTCTCGGATTAATCCCGACTTTGCCTCAGCCCACCTGGAAGGTCTTTTCTGACCTTCAGAAAAATTAAAACGCCACAGCATACAAAAATAATCCAATTTTGGCCGGTGATGGGAAAGAACCCTCCGCCATCCAAGGGTTAATCAAACTGTCCTTGTATGGAATGATATCTTGTCTCTAATTGTTTATGGTTCAAAATTGTGTCAAGGTGTATCATCAAAAGATTCTACTTTACTTGCTCTTATATGATGATGAACACTGTTCAAGTGAGTTGTATCAGACATTTGATTAATTTTTTAATAGGGTATATATTTTATGTGTTTGCATTATTACCTGTGCCCCTGACAATCCTCTTGGTCCTGGGGCACCTGGAAGTCCAGAAGATCCCATATCACCTTTGGCACCTGGTTCACCAGGAATTCCAGCTTCTCCTGGTCTTCCATCATCCCCCTTCAAAAGGTCTTGTTGATTTCAATTTGCAAAGCCAGACTTTGACTGGCATTTTGCTACTCACAGGGAACCCAATAGGTCCTTTGTCCCCTTGCAGTCCTTTTGGTCCAGGAAGCCCCTTCAAAAAAGAATAAATTTTGCATCAATTTGCAAGTGAAAGCATAATTTGAATGGGTTTTTGGCTTACTGGTGCACCATCTCTACCCTGATGTCCTTGAGAACCTGGTAATCCTGGGGTACCAGATTCCCCCTGAGGACCAGGTGGGCCTTGAGATCCTACTGGGCCTCTGAGACCATCTGACCCTGTGATTCCTGCATCAAAAAAGACATCAATATGAAAATAAGTGAGCCTCATTTGTTTTTATTTTGAATAAATTACCTGGAGGTCCTGGTAGACCAGGTAATCCTGGTTCCCCAGCTCTTGCTACTTCTCCTGGCAACCCTGGTGACCCTGGGTCCCCTCTTTCACCCTTCAATCCTGAAGCTCCCATGAGACCCATAATGCCAGGATTGCCCTATTCATTCAGAAAATGTTGTTGATTTTACTAACAAAGTATAAACATACAATATTTCTAAAATTTGCCATCAGGACTTGATTCAAATTTTTCTTTGAGCACTTCCTCACTTTTGAGTCAGAATTTCCTTGAAACCACTGTGGAATGAATGCCAAGACTTGAAAACGTTTCTGTTCACAAACTTCACATGGTAAAATATTTTTGTTTGATTTCAGCTTTGAATTGCATGGACAGGTTTCTTTCTGGGAAGTAACTATCATGGATGCAAAAATGCTCACATTAAGACACTCTGGCATTAGAACATGATTCTCAGGTCAGGGACATGATAAAAGGTTTCCAGCTTTTTGAAATACCAAACCAGATGACAATTAAAAAGGCCTTCATTTTCAGAAAAAAATGGTGCTTTGGGAGATGAACTTATGTCCTCATAAATATGTTGTTTATTTTGATGTCCTTGACTTATTCTCTCTAGCATTTAAAGCTGGGCAAGCCAAAATTGGAATAATAGTCAGAGAATGTATAGTGGTATAATCTGTGATTCCATCATCTATTAGAAATAAATTCCAATTGAAAAAACATAACTGAAAAACTATTGAACCATTTTAGTCAGCCATCAACTTTTGCATTGATTAAAAATTTAAAAGGGTGTGATGAGTTCACTTCAAGACTAAAGTTAAAGTGAAACTCACTGTTGCACCTGGTAACCCAGCAGGTCCCAGAGGTCCAGGTTCCCCAGGTAATCCTAGCTCCCCTTTGGATCCAGTTGAACCAGTTGGGCCAATAGGCCCTGGTAATCCTCTTTGTCCATTGATACCAGGCACACCAGGACTACCCCTTTCTCCTTTATCACCAAGTCTTCCAGGGTCTCCTCTGTCACCTCTTTCACCTCTCTCACCCTTGGAGCCAAACAGACCAGGCATTCCAGCTTCCCCAGGTCGACCTGGAGGCCCTGGGGGACCCATGGCCACTTCCCCACCTATTTCAATTCCTGGAGGACCTGGTGGACCCATTGGACCCTGTTAAATGTCAAAAGATGAAGTCAGTGAGAGGAGTGAACATGACTTGTATATTCCTCAAATACAGATGCTACCCCACAATTTGAACCTAATCCATTGCTGGACTACGGTCAAATTTCAAAATGGGTGAATTGTAAGAAACTGTGTGAAATTAAGTAAGAGTAACAGAAAAGCACTAAAAAGTGGCCAAAGCAGGTCAAATCAGGGGGCAGAATAAGTTAAATTGCAAGTCAGACTCATCCCAGCAAATTGAACCATCAACGTGCAGGACAGTTGAATTGCAAGGTGCCACTTGTATCCTTTTTTAAAGGTGAATATTGTAAAGTGCTTATGTAAGATTTTTGTACAGTCCTTAAAATTCCAGAACTTACTGGTTCACCTTGAACACCCCTTGGCCCCTGCAGCCCTGGTGACCCTGGGTCCCCCTTTGGCCCTCTTCTGCCAGGAGTACCATCAAGTCCTCTTGGTCCAGTTTCACCAGATGGTCCAGGAATACCACTGTCTCCTTTTATTCCATCCAGTCCTGGTAGACCCTGGATTTTGTGCATAAATAATTTTAAAATTTTCAACTTTTATTGTACCCTAATTTGAATTTTTTTTATGTAGTGGACTACAGACTGGAGCTCCCTCTTGACCAATAGGTCCTGCTGGTCCAACTGGCCCCACTACTCTGACAGCATCCCCAGGTGGGCCTTGAAGTCCTTGAGGTCCTTGTGGTCCTGCAAATCCTGGGACTCCTCTGTCTCCTTTTGGTCCCACTTGGCCTGTTATTCCCTGTAAAAGTGCCAATGATGTAGATGTTCAACAGAGGCTTTGTTGTGTTAGTGAGTGTTTTTCTTACAATTTCTCCTTTATATCCTGGGGAACCCCTGTCTCCTTTTGACCCTGGTCCACCAGGGAGTCCTGGAGTCCCCCTTAGTCCTGGCAAGCCAGATGGACCTTGTTCACCCTATCAAGAAACACAGTTTCAGCCAAATTCAAAATTACTGCTGAAGATGGGGGTGTTTACTGGTGATCCAGATTGTCCAGGACTGCCCTTGACACCAGGTAGTCCTTGAACCCCTGAGAGTCCCTGCAACCCTGGGAACCCTCTTTGTCCTGGAAGACCATCAGTACCATTGATGCCTGGTTGTTTACTGGTGATCCAGATTGTCCAGGACTGCCCTTGACACCAGGTAGTCCTTGAACCCCTGAAAGTCCTTGCAACCCTGGGAACCCTCTTTGTCCTGGAAGACCATCAGTACCATTGATGCCTGGTGGACCTGGAGGACAAGTGACATCACACATGGGAGCTTCCACAGGTGGACTCACTGCTTCCTCTGGCTCAGGGGCATGTGCAATTGAAACAAAAAAGTAAGAAATCATTTTCAAAATGTGTCCTTGAATCACAGAATGTTGTCAACTTACTGGAAGTTCATCACAAGTTTCTCTTTCTGGCCTGGTTGGGTCACAGTTCATGACCATCCATTGCAAATCAATCTGAAAAAATAAATTAATACAATACATTTTGCATTCAAAATAAACATTTCTTTGTGTGATGAAATTCACCAGAACAGATTTTCCTCTGGTTCCTTGAGTTTTTCCTATGACTAGTCTGCCATTGACATCAATGGGGCCAATGGGCAAGTCCAAAGCTTGTGCTCCAACTTCTTGGCAATCCACATACAAAACTATTCTGGTGATTGTGTCCCTGAAGACTCCAAAATGCAACTTGTGCCATTTGTCATCCAAAACCTGAAATGATGTCTTCATTTAATTGACATACATTTCAGCACATTTCCACAAGAACACCTTGCCTTGCTTTCAGGGAAAGACGTTGTCATTAAATTGCCTTCAATGTCAATTATTGAAAATTGCACAGAAGCATCCTTGGGTGCAATGGAAATGGCAAACTGAGTCCTGCCTTGAACATCTGCGATTTTGATGATATCCCAAGGAATTTTTGACACTTTCCTCTGACGAAATGTTGTGATGAAACTGAACTGGTCCGGGAGACCCATTGGAAAAATGTCTCTAGCAATAAATAGATCAGAAGAAAATAATGAAGCACAATATTGCAGTATTTTTTGAGAATATATAAGTAAAAGAGAGGTTATGCCCCTATTTATTCTAAATAAGGAAACCCGCGCTGGTTGATGATGAAAATGGCTCAGAAACGTTGTGACTAGGAGCGACACCCATGCAGAAAGAATGTAAAGCAAAGTTGTGCGGTTTTGTGAAAATTTGATAGGAGCCTCATGAAGGTGTACCTGAATTTTAGAGAGTTTCTGTCACAAGAAAATAATGACAACTGAAATGTTTACCAGGTTTCCATCCTTTTTGTTACAAGCTTCTTTTGTATAGCAAATACATGCTCAGGTCCCAATGCCTTTTTTGTTTTATCAGGATTCTTCTGTATATATGCTGAATATTTTTTGGGTTCCCATTATTATGGCTTCTGTTATGTTGAAAGATTTCACATTTTAGTTTTAAATGCTGTCATTTGGTTGAATGTTAGATTGAAACACATTTTTTTCAGAGCTATGGTAAACTCTCAATACTTGTTTATGATGTTGGTTGACAAGGTATATTGTTTGAAAAAAGGTTCAGGGCCATCTTTAGGATATATCCATGTATACAATATTTTTATAGAAAGGTTTCTCGAGAGGTTAAGACCATATTGTTTTATTTTTGAGGTATATGTTATGATTTTCCATTCAAAATGTGACTGCATGTGGCTGATTCTTGGGGCATAAATGAAAGGTGGAATGAAGGACAGCAATTCTTCAAAATTTACCTGAACACCCTCTTCTTCAAAATCATACTGATGCTCAACAATTAACTGTAAGCTTTTTTGGAACATCCAACCTTACAAATCTGTGCAGGAATTTCTTTAAAAAAACTAGAATTCCACAAAAATATTTACCTGTTATTCTGAGCAAATGTTTGTCATTGACATCAGAATTTTTGTTTGAAGATCTCAGTTTATCAAACATTGTAAAACATCATTTGAATAGGCCAAAAAATGAAGATCTTGAATATATGCAGGTTTTACTTATAAAATAATATTCCCAGCAATCAATCATTTTGAAAGTCTTTTAAAACAAATTATTTGTTCTAAAAAAGAGTTTTTTCAAGTCCTGCGAGTTTTTTTTTCTTGCAACAATATTTTACTGTTTGCATTATCTCAATAAGTGAATCACTTTTGAATCACCTGGTAGGCACGTTCAAGTCAGCATCTTTGCTTAGTCTGTAAGCAGATTGGACTCTGTTAGAGCCTCTAACTTTTGACACTCCTGGGTATTCTCTTTCTATGACATCCAGCTTGAATCGTCTGATGAAGTCAAATGCCTGAAGGTCGTCTTCTCCTGGTTTGTAGTCTGCACAAGGTCCTGCTATTTCTGGCGTGATTACTCCATTGTAATCTGTCGCAATAAATTTGCACACAAAAAAAAACAAGAGCAACATCAAATGGCGATTCAAAAAATACAATAAAATAAGCCGCTGACCTTCGAAATCGAATTGAGACATGTCTCCCCTTCTCGGCATCTCTGTTGAAATATAAACGAATCGAGTTTTCAAATTCATTTTCTTGAAAATAAAATATTTTAAGAAATGAAAATTTGGCTCACGTGCTGACACGTTTTCGAGGCTTGAGGCAAATGCCAAGAGGCTGAAGACAGCTGCAGAAAAAATTTGCATCTTGGTGACAAATTTCTCTGATTCGCCAAAGGTTTTCAAATCAGTACCGAATCTTCTTCACCAATGAAAAGCCATTGTGATTTAGTGTTTTCTTTTTCTGGTCTAAGAATTATATGTTCACTTTTTTATCTCCTGCAGAGAAAACATCATCTCTCCCCTGCTGGATTAAAAAATAAACATAAATGAAAGCAAAAATCAGCTGGAAAATTTAGCAGTTAAAACCGCAACATAAAGTGAGTTTTCTGTAATTGATTGAAAGTTTGACGCTTTTTTTTTAGTAAAAAATTCATCCAACTCTCAAAGGTGTCTAAGTGGTGTAACTCCTGCAGCATAAATACATTAGTTTGTGCATCACCAGAGCACCTTCTCTTCTTATGTCCAGCATTTCAAATGGATAGAAATCAGCTTAAGGAAGATTTAAAATTACTGAAATTTTCATGCTTTGAAGTGATTGAATGTCTTTGGGGGGAGTTGGGTTGGGTGGGGAGGGGGTTTGGATGCAGGAGTCTTGGTTGTGCCTTGTGAACGCTGAAAAGCAGAAAAAAAAGTGTTCTGTTCATTCATTCATTCATTATATATATTTTTTTACTTTTTCTTCCAACTTTCAGATGGCAGATTTGAATTCAGAAGCACAAATTATCTGAATAGAATCCCTATGAAAGTTAACAATTCCAGAACAAAATTGATTTTTTTTTAAATACAAAATTTCACTTCACCAACTGAAACTAGAAGTGAATGTTTCCTGAAATGCAATGAAAAAGGATCATATTACTCTTAAAATTATGGAAGTCTCCTTTTTTGGGAACAAGTGAAGATGACGTATTGATCCTTCCATTTTTGTTTACCAGATTCTTTTATTTCATGTTTCAAGTATACTATTCTTACAGTTTTTGAAAGAACTTGAGTCGAAGGATTTATCCAAGGGTTTATAAATTCCGTACATAAAAAGGAAGCTCTCAAAAATGGTGGGAGAACCATGACAAGAAAATAAGCAGAAAATTAAATTTACGGGAATATTTCGTATGAATAAATGAGAAAATGTAATTTCATTCAAATGAGGCATCCAAAAACTCTCATTCAAAAATTAGAAAAATGTTTTAAAAAAGAGCAGATTTACGCAAGAAGCGACCAAAAATTAACTTAAAATACTGTAGTGTATTAAAGAAGGGAATCTGAAAAAAATATTTCGAATTTAAAATTTTCCAAGTAGGCCATGTTTTTTTTAATTCAACATATACATTTGCTCAACTGGGCACTTTTTGATTCGTAGTCGCTTTTAAAATTATATTGTTTCTTTGGATCAAAATATTCCAATATTTCTCTCTTCTTTTTCCCTTCTTTTTAAAAAAATTTCCAAACCCGCCACAAGGTTTGAAAATTCTTTCAAAACACTGAAACCTTACGTATTTTTTTCTTTTCTTATTCTCTTCCTTTTTTCACTTTTTTATATATTTATTTTCAGCCTGGCCGTACTTCATTAACTCTGACAACATTCTCGGGGCAATTTGCAAATCAGGGTGCAACAGGAAGGAAAAAAATAAATAAAATGCCGAAAAAAATATTATTTGCACGTCGAGAGTTGACGACGTTTGTCGCAGAAAATTGCGCGTTTCGCTGTCAGCGACGACTGTTGCTGTCGCACATTCCTCGTCACGAGTTCTCACTGTTTTTCCTGGGCGTGAATTAGTACAAATATATATATATAGAAAAATGCATGTATTCCCGTAGGTCTCTGATTTTTTTTTCTCGCTCCTAAATGCCATTTTTTGTGTGTGTAGGTTTGGCGGTAAAAGCGTCATTTGTCAAGCGTCGGATTTGTACCTGCACCTGCTCTGAGGGGGCTTTTTACCTGCAGAATTTATGAGAAATTTGTGGTTTGAATCGCTCGAATTTAGAAGCAGCAGGAATTTGAGAAAGTTATTGAACTCGATTCTTGGATGAAGTTTTCAATGTGCAGCGAAAATGGTTTCAAACAGTGTCTAGAAGATTTTTTTTCTTTCTTGCAACACAGTGAAAAATCACATTTCATTTGCAAATCACTGAATTTATAACAGGCTTTTCCATAGATGAAAGAAACTTCTTCAAAATGAACTGCAATACATTTTTTTTTAAACTTCTAAATTCATAAAGAAATAAAATCTTTCTTTCTAGGATTCNGAAGGTCAGCGGCTTATTTTATTGTATTTTTTGAATCGCCATTTGATGTTGCTCTTGTTTTTTTTTGTGTGCAAATTTATTGCGACAGATTACAATGGAGTAATCACGCCAGAAATAGCAGGACCTTGTGCAGACTACAAACCAGGAGAAGACGACCTTCAGGCATTTGACTTCATCAGACGATTCAAGCTGGATGTCATAGAAAGAGAATACCCAGGAGTGTCAAAAGTTAGAGGCTCTAACAGAGTCCAATCTGCTTACAGACTAAGCAAAGATGCTGACTTGAACGTGCCTACCAGGTGATTCAAAAGTGATTCACTTATTGAGATAATGCAAACAGTAAAATATTGTTGCAAGAAAAAAAAACTCGCAGGACTTGAAAAAACTCTTTTTTAGAACAAATAATTTGTTTTAAAAGACTTTCAAAATGATTGATTGCTGGGAATATTATTTTATAAGTAAAACCTGCATATATTCAAGATCTTCATTTTTTGGCCTATTCAAATGATGTTTTACAATGTTTGATAAACTGAGATCTTCAAACAAAAATTCTGATGTCAATGACAAACATTTGCTCAGAATAACAGGTAAATATTTTTGTGGAATTCTAGTTTTTTTTAAAGAAATTCCTGCACAGATTTGTAAGGTTGGATGTTCCAAAAAAGCTTACAGTTAATTGTTGAGCATCAGTATGATTTTGAAGAAGAGGGTGTTCAGGTAAATTTTGAAGAATTGCTGTCCTTCATTCCACCTTTCATTTATGCCCCAAGAATCAGCCACATGCAGTCACATTTTGAATGGAAAATCATAACATATACCTCAAAAAATTTTGTTATACCAGAATTGGAGAGCTCTTTGGAAAGATATTTTTATAACATATGTACCTATATAGGATTTCTACCGGGACTTGGAAAAAAGTTTGTTATATGGAACAGTTGGTTGTAGTATTTGTTTCATGCTTTGAAGTGATTGAATGTCTTTGGGAGGAGTTGGAGTTTGGTTGGGTGGGGAGGGGGTTTGGATGCAGGAGTCTTGGTTGTGCCTTATTGTGAATGCTGAAAAGCGGAAAATAAAGTGTTCTGTTCATTCATTCATTCATTATTATTTTTTTTTACTTTTTCTTCCAACTTTCAGACAGCAGATTTGAATTCAGAAGCAAAAATGATCTGAATAGAATCCCTATATGAAAGTTAATAATTCCAGAACAAAATTGATTCTTTTTCAAATATTTCACTTCACTGACTGAAACTGAAAGAGAATGTTTCCTGAAATGCAATGAAAAAATAGCATATTACTCTTAAAATTATGGAAGTCTCCTTTTTTGGGAACAAGTAAAAATGACGTATTGATCCTTCCATTTTTGTTTACCAGATTCTTTTACTTCATGTTTCAAGTGTATGCTATTAATACAGTTTTTGAAAGAATTTGAGTCGAAGGATTCATCCAAGGGTTTATAAATTCCGTACTTAAAAAGGAAGCTCTCAAAAATGGTGGGAGAACCATGACAAGAAAATAAGCAGAAAATCAAATTTACAGGAATATTTCGTATTACTAGATGAGAAAATTAAATTTCATTCAAAGAAGGGCATCCAAAAACTCTCATTCAAAAATTACAAAAATGCAAAAAAAGAGCAGATTTACGCAAGAAGCGACCAAAAATTAACTGAAAGTACTGTAGTGTATTGAAGAAAAGAATCTGAAAAAAAAATAATATATTTCAAATTTAAAATTTTCCAACTATAGGCCATATGTATTTTAATTCAATATATATACATTTGCTCAACTGAGCACTTTTTGATTCGTAGTCGTTTTTAAAATTATATCGTTTCTTTGGATCAAAATAATCCAATATTTCTCTCTTCTTTTTCCCTTCTTTTTAAAAAATTTCCAAACCCGCCACAAGGTTTGAAAATTTTTTCAAAACACTGAAACCTGACCGATTTTTTTTATTTTCTTATTCTCTTCCTTTTTTCACTTTTTTATACATTTTTTTTCAGCCTGGCCGTACTTCATTAACTCTGACAACATTCTCGGAGCAATTTGCAAATCAGGGTGCAACAGTAAGGAAAAAAATAAATAAAATGCCGAAAAAAATATTATTTGCACGTCGAGAGTTGACGACGTTTGTCGCAGAAAATTGCGCGTTTCGCTGTCAGCGACGACTGTTGCTGTCGCACATTCCTCGTCACGAGTTCTCACTGTTTTTCCTGGGCGTGAATTAGTACAAATATATATATATAGAAAAAATGCATGTATTCCCGTAGGTCTCTGATTTTTTTTCTCGCTCCTAAATGCCATTTTTTTGTGTGTGTAGGTTTGGCGGTAAAAGCGTCATTTGTCAAGCGTCGGATTTGTACCTGCACCTGCTCTGAGGGGGCTTTTTACCTGCAGAATTTATGAGATATTTGTGGTTTGAATCGTTCGAATTTAGAAGCAGCAGGAATTTGAGAAAGTTATTGAACTCGATTCTTGGATGAAGTTTTCAATGTGCAGCGAAAATGGTTTCAAACAGTGTCTAGAAGATTTTTTTTCTTGCAACACAGTGAAAAATCACATTTAATTTGCAAATCACTGAATTTATAACAGGCTTTTGTATAGATGAAAGAAACTTCTTCAAAATGAACTGCAATACATTTTTTTTAACTTCTAAATTCATAAAGAAATAAAATCTTTCTTTCTAGGATTCAAATCGTTTGAAACTGATAAAAAAACCAAAATTATTCCTCACAAAAGATTACCAACAAAAGTCTTCGAAATTAACCAAAATAATTTTTCAGAAACTTTTGAATTTATAAAGAAATAAAATCTTACTTTCGAGGATTAAAATCGTTTGAAACTCCGGAAAAAAGCCCAAAATTGTTCCTCACAACAGATCAACTACAAAATTCTTCGAAATTAACTGCAATAAGCTTTTTAGAAAATTTTGAATTGATAAAGAAGTAGAATCTTTCTTTCGAGGGTTCGAATCGCTTGAAACCCTCAGAAAACCCAAAAATTTTCCTCACAAAAGATTACTTACAAAAT